CATCCAAGCACTCATCCAAGACGAAAACCTGCTTAGCTTGAGATATGTGACGAGATCAGTTTGAATTCTGGATGATTTGGTCAAAGGCTGATGCAGTATACAGAACCCAAATAATTGCCGTAACGTTATTACGATACGGTATGTACGTTCTTTTACTGTCATTTAGTTGTGCATAGATGTAAATAGTATATAATGGAAGAGGGATGTTGACTTTACAACAGCTTTGGGATCTAGCAGAAGGAAGGAAGTGACGGCTGGGTGTGGTGGCATCAGCGGCATCGGCCTTGATGACCTCTTGACCTTGAAATACGTTTCCTCAAGCCATTTTTCAATACTGCTGGATGAAAGCCTCCTCATACTGGACACCTGTGAAAAAGAGCTTCACATCTCATCAGATTCTTCCAGGCTAAATTACGATTCTAATACTGTGGGTCATGTTTTTATATATATATATAACTCAAGTTCAGATGTGACTTACCACTGATGTTAAGCAAGTCCAGAATCTAATTTGGTTATCCAGGTGTATAATGCAGTGCGCTATCCACTGCGTCACAGCTCTCCCAGCAGTAATTTAATATTGGAAATTCATTTTCTTAAGGCCTAACGCCCCAGGGACAGTGTGTCTTATAATAGCATTTGATGATATCTAATTACAGAACGTCATGTGCATTATATTTCAACAATGCAGCCTTTAATTAAAGAAGCAATTTGCATGTCATTTCGTGAAATAGTATATGATGATTTCACTTGTGAATTTGCATTTATTTTGCCCCTTCTACAAGTAGACTGCAGGATGTATTTCTATATTTAATCATGACTTGACAGGTATGAGGAAATGAGCCAGTGCATGAATTTGGCATGGTAGGTCCAATCATAGCACGATGTATTGTGTTAACTGTGCACTGTACTCGGGATGAGTTTGAGATTAAGCATGTCAGATTTTGTTATTGTTAAAGACAATTTAATATCATCCAGGTTTTGGATCTTTTCCTTTAATAACAATTTAACATGTCGTCACACGAACAAAATTATAATCAACAGATTCCACATGGCACCATATTTCTTGGCAACATTTGGGGCATATTTCCTGTGATGTCATATTTCCAAATCAAAATGTGTATGATCCTAAATGTCATATCTCGGCCTGATTTTCAGATTTTTCTGATATATCCTCGAATCGGGCACACATCCCTACTGTGTGTGGAGAGGGGGAGTGGTTGCACAGTAGTTAGCTTACCGCACTACGAACTGAGCCAACTGATTTTAACTCCAGGCCACAGATAACATCAGTGGCGAGTTCTACTGGCACCAGTCCTGGGGCAATCCCATTCACGAATAGCGTGAAGGCTGGCCAAGCAACCTTCATGCAGCAGTGTCCTGACAAAAGGGCTGTACATGTACCTGCATATGTATGTTGCTTGCGGTGTGATGTATATTGTGTGACAGAAAGGTCAGTCCTGAACGTTGCGCTCAGGCTACCGTGGATTGGGAGACCTCATTGCATTATTTTCCATCATGTGATCCAACACGCTGTGTAGTTTGTTTCAGCAGGTGAAAGTCCATTGCGATGCATTGTGTGTTGTTATTTTAGTTATATGCTGTATGTGTTTTCGTGTTCTTGCAGGTTTTCATGACTAAATTGCAATACTATTTATAACTTCTGGCAGGATTGTTTCCCTTGCAAAATAAATAATGGTGGTATCTCGATAAAAGGTATTTCTTTTGTGATACTGCATTGGCAGTGGTGCATAAGCACAATAAAAATAAATCAACACATTCAAAATGAATGCTGCAAATGTGTTTATTTTTTGTATCTCAATAAAAATTACTTTGCGAGGTTTTTGGATAATTTGTTTAAAAATAATTACGGCTACATTTAAATATTTTAATTACAAAAATAACAGACAATACAATTTTATTTCAGAACTCCACTCACATTAGAAAGGTTCGTTCTATTCACGCTGTAAAGAGTGTGAGGAAACTATTCTCATAGAATGTCCATAATCCATTGTTAAGGGTATGTAACCTTATAGTCCAACCTTTGTTGATTGATACACCATTCCTATAAATTCACAGTACGTAATCCAAGGTCTCATTGCAAAAAAAAACAGAACGGAATATTACGTAACCAGGTTCTCACTTGGTCAAAGTGTACAAAAAGTGAGTCAAATAGTGTCCGACGTGAGATCGCAGTTTCCTTAATTATAACGAATACAGGTAGTCCTCTACTTACGATGGGCATGCGTTACAACGACCCCATCGTAAGTCTAAAATATCGTAAGTCGAAGATGGCCTAGCCTACCCAGGAGTCTTAAAGAATGGTGATAATTTAGCAAAACAGAGCAATTTACAATACCGTACTGTATAAACGATATACTGTATGTATTTATCAATTACAATACTGTATTGCACAGTCAAATGTAAAGTAAAAAAACAGGGTCATTTTTTCGCCTACCTATATGAACTGAAATTTAATAGAAAGTTTTTTTTCAGGAAACAATCCTATCTGCTATAAAAAAAAAACTTTTAACATGCATTGAACGTATCGTAACATATCATATTGTACTATACTCACCAAGATTCTGTCCGTCGTCTGCATACTTGAACGATGTTAGGTTGTTGATGGCAATTTTTTCGTATCGCCATCGTAAGATCGAAATATCGTCGTAACTCGGGGACTACCTGTGCAAACGCTCACGTGACATTCTGGAGAGACCGCCAGAGTACAGCCGTAACGTCACTGCAGTGAATATTAAGGCACATTGCCATGGTTGCTCTTCAAGATCTCGAACGAAGCTTCATACTTAGGGAAAGGGTCCCCTTCCTCTAACTTGTGGTTGATTGCAAAAAAATCAGTGCAAACTAAGCACATTTTCCACTTGAGATATTTTATGAAACTGGCTACTGAACCACCACCTGGTTAAATTAAATGACATCACATTATACAGGAGCAATCCTGCAGTGTGACCTTGTTTCAAGGGGGGCATACAAAAACAACTCACTGGGGGGGGGGGGGGGGCACAATACAGTCGCTCTGAGACAAACTTCAAACATATGTTAAGCGCAGAACAGGATGAGTAATGATATGAGCTGCTTTTGTCTATCGTGTACTGCGGCTCCAGCTCTCACCGGATTGGAAGAAAAACAGCCACTGGTGTTACATTTTCCACCAACAAAATTTGATTTTCAAACACAAAATTCAGTCCATGCCTCCAGCGCTTTGGAGGTGAGGGGGGTTTTGGGTCACATCGTTTTCAGAAAATGTCCAACTCGCTAAACTGTGAAGTGACCAGCCGATGGCAGTACAGCAAGTGGGTTAATCAACCTGCGTGTGCAGAGCTTTGATGAGTGTTAAGCCCTCATTTGCGCGATGGGCTTTCTCCTTGTGGCCAAGTGTCCTCCCATAATGGGATTGGCCAAACACATCCCAATGACTGACCTTCATGAAAAAGTATTGGCCCTCAGTGAGGCTTTCCTAGATGAATGAATTACATTTTTCTTAATATGCATTATCCACTCTGATTATGAGAGTCATGAAGTCAAAGCCGGCGGAAGAAATTTAATCCTTGGTCCAGAAAGCCTCTAGACTCGCTAATCCCATCGTTGTTATTTAATGAGACGAAAACACCTCTATTTGTGACCCCTACAACTATTAGAGCACCACCCTGTGTCAAAGGACTACCTCTGAAGTAATTTTGTCAGATGTATTTTTCAACAGTAGGGGAACAATACGCTGCTGAGATAAATGTACTATTTGGTAGTAACGCACTGGCAGTGGTGCACAAGCAAAAATAACCAAAACTCAACACATGCGTCGAACACTGCTTTAAAGGAAACAGGTGATGGTTAAAGCAGCTATACTCCATAGTAAATAAAAATGAGCATTTAAAACAACCAAATTAAAATGTTTAATTATTAGAAATGTAATGAGCTAAATAAAGCACACACCCCAAATTTAACATGATTCATTTATTGTATTTTTATGTATTGTATAACAGTGATTAATTTTGTACCTTGTTTAAATGAATTGCAGGAATGCAGAATGAGTTAATATTGTTTTTCAGTTGTATATTTTTTTTTTACTAAATTACACTAATTAAATATGAATGGTCTTTCATTTAAACGAATTACAGTATTTGTTATTATTAATCGCATCAACCGTCGCCAGTTTAAATGAACACCAGTTATGTTGCCTAAATCCATCATCATCAATCATCATAGTCCAATGTGCCCAGAGCAGTGATTTCACTTGCTCATACCACCCGATGTGTCAAACATCACGTTGGTTGTCCCAATTAAATTATGCAGCCAAATAACCACACTCTTTGACATGAGTGGGATATCAAACATTGATCTGTTATTCGCCCTATAGCCCTGTCGTTACCTTGGTACGACTGAACAACAGAAATCAACATGAACGGTGCCAATTCCTGCTCCGGCCCATCATCAGCATCAGCAATTCCAGCCGCGACCAAATCCACTGCTGGATGGAGGAGGTCTCATCGAATTTCCTCGGGCTACGAATTTCAACATCAACAAAAATGTTTCTCGTTGTCAACAGTGGAATTGGCAGCATGGGGCCCGACTCTTAGGTTTTTTCGGTAAAGTCACGTAGGTAAAAAAAATACTAAATAATAAAAAGAATGGAAATAATAATAGAAATAAATTAATAAAAAGAATATTAGAAATAAAATAATAAAAATATTATTTTATATCTATTATTATTGCTGTTTTTTTATTTTTTTCCTTCGCGACTTTACCGAAAAATATAATAAAAAGAATATTTCATTTCTTTAATTATTTCTATTATTTTATTATTTATTTTTCATTTTTTTACCTACGTGACTTTACCGAAAAAACCCTAAGAGTATGAAATCCTTGCAGTCACGAAAGGCTTCAAATCTAGCATGGGGGGGGGGGGGGGGGGGGAACACCCCGCCACTCAAGGGGCTTGCTGACTGGATCCGGTTCCCGCCTCTTACGTTTAAACTCCCAGCGATCCGGATCCCGGGCTCTTAACGTTGAGCGGCGAAGTGGCGTTCGCAGCGTCGTTCTCGTCGTCTCCTCATCGCCCTCGTCGCAATGCGGACACGGCCAGGTCAGTGGAGACGTCTCCATCGCGCCGCCACAAACACTGCCACCGTCACGACGAACGTCAAACCACAAATATCAATCATCACCACCCCGCCAACCCCGCGGTCCTCCGCCTGGTCGCGATACCGAGGCGCACGTCTCAACATCGGCGGGGCCCGCCAGGAAAGTGCGTAGGCTTACGAGGAGAGCGTGGAGCGCGCTAGGCCGCAGCGGTAAAACTTGATAAAATGTTTTTAAACCGCAGAATATTGCGGCTGGTAATAGCGGCGAATGTTGCCCGGACGCTTCTTATGATTCTCCCGTGTGTTTGTTCGAATGAAATTAGCAATATCCAGGGGTTTTCGGCGAGAGACGACTTGACACAAGGAGTTGTGTGTGTATTCTTGGGCTGTAGTGATGATGGATAGCGCCCGATGCGCTTTCTCTGCGTGATAGAAGCCAATGCAGTATTTTGATGGCAGTGCCGATAACAGCAGCAAAAATCGAGTAGACAACTACACCAACAACAAAACACACCGGCCGGACTATAATACACGCGTTCAATGTGCCATGGACTGTGGTTGCTACTGTTAAGATTTCTTTGTTTTTCTATAGCGTTCTGCTCCGCGTTATGTAATGTCTGTGTACCCAATGGAAAGCTTCCTTGAAACTCAAGGCTATTTCACAGATGCCTGCTACATTAGAGGATGTGTGGCTGCGATCTTTTTGTCCTCCTGTGTAATGAGCGGTGTGGAGTAGCCCCACCAGGAACAATACGATTGATAGATTGAAGAATCCGTTCTTGTATGCCATCTCCTCTCCTAACCAGCCTCGCAACACAAGCTTCCAGGCTCAAAACATTCCTATCTTTTAAGATCTGACGACTTCGGGGCAAACCTCTTCAGAGGTGGAGGATTGGGTATTAGGATTCGGGCATATTCAGCGTTCAAGGTAGTTGTAATTTCTCGTTGTAACTTCATCGTGACAACTGTCAAGCAAAAGCAAATCTGGTGTCCTCTCAGCCAATGTCAACCGGGCCAGCAGTGGCTGCCAAAAGTGACATTTTGAGGCCTGGGGATGGCCCTGTGTGTGCAGCAGGTTACAGTACAGTACATATAGAGTGGCAAAGTCATGGATTATTGTTCTGACTTATTCCACTAAGTAGTCTCTCACCTTCTTCTTGGTTCTTTCGGTAAAGTCACGTAGAAGGGAAATAATAAATAATAAAACATAATAAAATAATTCTCACAACGTTTCGGCCACAACGCAAGCAGCCGTCCTCAGGTGAAGAACAGGTCTGTCGGAAAGACAGCGTCTGAATGAAACACCCCAGGCTTGGAGCGTATATTTAAGCTGCCAATGAATTAAGAACACTCGCCAAGCAATTGATATGCGAGTAAGATAGCCCTTGTAATTTAATTGTACATATTGAAATATGATCATAATAAACTGTATTTAGGCAGGAAAAAAGACTAGACTTTTTTTCCAGGCGGGATGCCCTATTGGAATATTTGTTGAATCCCATAAATAAGTACTGTATTTTTCCACCAGCTCCAGAGAGAATTGTCAGGTGAGTATTATGCCCTAGCGCATTTATAAAACTACTTTTATGATGCCGTGCGTGCAACTTTCCACAATTAGAAATTGGCTTCTTACTATTTCGAGTAATTGTTCCATTCACTCGTTTTACGTTTACGATTTCCATTGCCATCCACCAAGGTAACAAACATCACAACCACCACCTGTTTGTGCACAGCTTACCAAGGTGACCTGTGATGCATGTGTATTTTCTTGGCCACGTGCTACTATAATGGCTAGTTCGCTCCTCCAGTCTGCGGCTGTTTGATAACGTGGCTTGAGTTTGTGATCAGTGCCCATATTATATATATGGCATGTTTGCAAAGGTTCGACAGTTAGATTTTCACATACTAGACTCACCAAGGTGTCTTCTTTTCATAAGAAAATTAAGAACGCTAAACCTGTCAAATTAACAACCACAGACTTAAGTGTCTATAATAACTGATGACAAAGCACGACCATCATGTGTTGGCATCGTTACTCAAGTTTCATATCTAAATATTGTAGTTGTAAATTGTATAACTGCGCTATTGTAACAATGTTATGTGATATCACATTACAAAGGGTATTGTGAGGCTTATTCTGCTGTCCTTTGGATAAATAAAATACATTATTAAGCCATTCAGAAACTGTTCCTATAAGCTCTCAACTGACATGCCTCTGGCAGTCCATAATTCGTGGTATGTGTTGGTGGTGAACATGTATTTTTTTTGACTGACGTTAGCTCCCCTTTCTGCCTCAATCCTGAAAGCGGCTAAATTGCCTCATTACTTCCACTAAGAGGCTGTATCTGATTAGGGTTGGAGATAGGGCTGACTATCTGCTAACCCACTTCAGCCTCTTATTAGAGTAATCAGGTTGTTTAGCCTTCTGTAATCAAATGAGTTGGATATTATAATGGTAATACTATTTGTCAATCCCCGTGGCGTGTTGGACACGGTAGCTAACTGACCACCTTGTCTGTTATGTGTGGATTGGTGAATTCGGGGCGGGGGGGGCATTAGTGGAATATAACAATAGTTTTAACTTTCGATTTAAAGCTTTCGTGACTGCAGGGATTCATCTTCTTGATTATTTCGGTAAAGTCACGTAGAATGGAGATAATAAAATAATAAAAATAAAACATAATAAAATAATTCTCACGACGTTTCGGCCACAACCCAGCTTAAATATACGCTGCCAAGCCTGGTGGTGTTCATTCAGACGCTGTCTTTCTGACAGACCTGTTCTTCACCTGAGGGGACGGCTGCTTGCGTTGTGGCCGAAACGTCGTGAGAATTATTTTATTATGTTTTATTTTTATTATTTTATTATCTCCATTCTACGTGACTTTACCGAAAGAACCAAGAAGATGAATAGTTTGAACTGTTTTGTCCTCTGGTTCACAACATAACGCAGCAGCAGCCGATCTTACCCATGTATGGCCACCCACGGGCTCCATAGGCACTCAAACGTGCTTTTCTCATGAGATATGATATTTGATACATTATGGGTTAAATTGCCATAGACAAAACACCATAATATTATAAAATATTTATAGGAATATAAAACATAATGTATATTCATATGTATGTCTTAGTAGAACAATATGACATTAAAAGTCACTAAATATTTATAAGCTCGTCTGTGATTATGCATTGCATGCATTTAAGCACTTTCTGCGCAATTCACCAAGGCGTTGTTGAGTTCTTCTAAATGAATTCACAAGACAGGAAACAGCTATTTCTACAACAAGTAATTTGTTCCTGATAAATAAACATATGTTGAGCGTAACATAACATCTATGTGAAAGCTACAAGCAATGAACACATTCTCAAACTGTCAGCAAATTTACCGAATCTAATGCAGAAGATACATTTTGGGTAGGTTTAAGGATGCTGGAAAATACTGTACTTTATCCAAAATTATTTTACTATGAAGATTGTGATTGGCATTTGCGCTCAGCCGGAATGGCTATGCAAACATAATCCTACATTGTCCACCCACAGTCAGCCACTCCACCGTTCCAACAACCATCCATCACAATTTGCTATTTCATTTTTATACCACCGTGCGTTTTCTCTCACCCCGCTTTCATCCACTTCACATATTGATGCGTATCTTATAAGCGTCCCTGCCAGCACGACAAAGCTACAGATCGGTGCAGATTAAACAGCCAGGTCTGCCCTACCTTGTTACGTATCGCTTTAGTCATGCATAGTTGTTGTTTTGAATTCCATCTTTTATTTACTCGGTGCAGCCAAGTAGTTTTAACAGAATGATGCCTGGTACTCAGTTGTGACTGAATGCATGATGCATCCAGTACATATATTGTTTCTCATTTAGTAGCACGGTTGGTACTTGTTGAATATTTTAAATACTGTAAATGTGATCATGCATTATTTTGTACTTTTTTCACAGGTAATGACAACAATGGACTCGGTTTTTTAAGGACATTACTTTTAAGTGAAGATGGAAAATTACAACACACCATGTTGAAGGATGTTGTTATCACTTAAGAAGGAAGACATTGTTGATATACATAGAAAAAACACATTCTATCATCCGGCACTTACTAGTTTCATTTTAGTGACAGGACATCTAGCAGCTGCTTTGTTAATTGAATGAGATCGTGATGGTTCAAGTCGAAAGTATTTGGTGCTTCTCAACTGATTTACCAAAGTTCCAAGCAAGATGTCCTTCACGTACGTCATTCTTCAAAACAGCCTTGGGCTTCTCCAGGGAAGGTTAATACATCATTAGTGTGCCTCGTTGAAGTTACGCACATCTTGCCCACGCAAAAAACCTTTAAAGCGCCTCGCGTCTAAAATATGTCTTTTTGCTTCACAGAGCATTTTAAATGACTTGCTAATTGTTACATAGTTATCACCCAGTAGGTCAGTTTATCCTCAGGGCTATTTGTTCCAGTGTTCTTATATTGAGCAACGCGATAAAAAAAACACAATTTCATTGCATTTTTTGAACACTACGAGACCGAGCACAGCCTTTGTGAGTTCCAAAGTGCGCGAGAGCCTACCTCGTCGTAAACTGGAAGTGATTGCAACGCTGCACGCGATGGAGGCGGGCAAGATAGCCGGGTTGTACGACCTGGAGAAGACGCTGGGACGCGGGCACTTTGCCGTCGTGAAGTTGGCACGCCACGTTTTCACGGGCGAGAAGGTGGCCGTGAAGGTCATCGACAAGAGCAAGTTGGACCCCATGGCCACCAGCCACCTCTTCCAGGTGAGTCTACAGCACTCCACGCAACGTGTCACAAGCCTTGTGATCGAGCCCTTTCTTTGGAGGCCAAGTTGGTGGATCTTGATGCAGACATTATTCTGTGTGTATAACATCCACTTTTAAAGTGCCTTCTCCCAACTACGCTAATCTCCTCAGCTCGCCGATGTGTTTTCGGGTTGTACCGGCATGATATTCAACATTTTTCTCCCAAGTGCTGAGGAGAGCCTGTGGAGGAACCTCAAAGGAAGCTCCCGGGCACGTTGAGCTGAAACGCATCAGAGAGCTATACAGCACAGCTGTGAAACCCTACGGCAGCAGTATCTCAGCCTCTGATCTCTATCCTCTTGAGGAAAGACCATTTCCCCAAAACTTTAGGCTGTTATGGATTTTTCTGTTAGAAGGCAATGTTTAATGATGAATGTCCCCAGTTATTTTTAATTGTGCTTCACCCACCTGCAACACTACATTGTGGCAATTGGATTGCAGTATAGAAAGCAGGTGTTGAACTTATTTATATGGTTAATTGAGTATTGTCCCATTTACACTGTGTCTGTTTTCTATGGGTATTCCAGATTCAAGCCAGAATGCAATATTTCAAGTGAATTAACCAAACATCATATTACAGGCCTTCTCCAAAAAACACCCACCCAGAAAACATTTGAATACTCTGAAGTTTTCTTGAATGAGCAGACTGTTATTACTGTTATCATAACCATACCCTTTGTAGGCATAAAGGTACTTTAGGTATGCATAATTGTAGGTGTCTGTATTACACCTCTGGCATGGAAACTCCGCCATCTGCTCATGACTTATGTTGCCAAAACTCACGGTCGTGTTTTGTGCCTTTGTCCCACACTAAACATTGTAATATTCTATCATCGTTACACCAAAGGAACAGTGCGTGCCTCTGATTTAGACTTCACTCCACGTGTGCTTAAGCTGATGACCACGTCACCCAATTCACCAAATCTCATAAGCTCAACAGGTTGGAGTCGGCAGAGGTAAATGCAGCAAAATCCATTTGGTAGTGTACTACATTCCAATGTCTACGCGTCCTGCCTTCATAAACACATATTGGCCATCGTGGTGAAGTATGGTCATATATCCCACATGACTGACATGGACTGGCGTGGGGGAGGCTGTTATCCAGCAATGGATTAATAAAAAGGCTGCTTTTATATATATGCTTAAGGGTATAGTAAAACATTTAATGTGATAAGTGGATTGGGTAGTCGCTTTGGGCTTAGGAGTATTCAGACATGTACATCTTTTCATATTTCTGTCACTATGGGCAGATGGAGCTTGTATTTCAGATGTCTATGAAAATTGTAGTCGTACATTTACAATATAGCAAACTGACGACATTCAGTACATTTGGAAATAATTTCTAAAAATTAAGTCCGCTTGTCAATGAAAGGAATTTGCAAAACAAGAACATCTGGTTGAGGTTGATTAGGACACCCATTGACTGCGGGCAACCTAACGAGTTTGGTGGGCTAATGGTCGTGGTGATGATTTGATACATGGCCACAGATGGTGCGTGAATCTCATTCGTATTGACGTGTACGTTAAAGTTTTGTTCCGACACCCACCCGCGTTGGCACATGGAACACATTGTCCCCTCCGACCCATACCCCTCTGTTTGAAAGCACAACATGTGCCAGAAAATTATGAAATGTGTTGCTGCAAAAATGTGAAGCTGAAATAATTCGGAACACAAGGATAATATGTGAAATGCAGTGGAAGTACTTTAATTACCTCTAGATGAGTAATGGTGATGCTTTTTTTTCTCTCCCAAATGTGACTGATTTTATAACAATGGGCCTGCCTAGTTTGGATACTTACAATAACATCCTTTGGAATTTTTTTTTATAACCATAAGAGGCATGCAGGGTGTGGAGTGGTGACAGTGATTAGCACACTGTACTCTGACCCATGTTTGATTCCCATCCACGGCTAACAGCAGTGCAAATGAAATCGGAAACCGGTCTTACACCAATCTGAATTAACCAGTGTGGTGAAGTTATGATTAAACAACACCGATGACCCACACGGCAAGGGGTTTTCTTCAATTGAGAATTAGTAAAACGCTGAAAATTATTATAATAAAAGATATGCACAACCCTGTAGTTTTGTTAATTATATTATATACATGTATTATATGTCAAAATTTAGGCTGCCGTATTTAGCATTTGTTTGGCACATCGTACCAAAGTCACTTTTAAGGAAGTTTCTAAATGTAATTAAAAGTTGGTTCACACTGCCAAAATACACACTTCCACACACCAAAACAATATGATTGACTACTGCACTTGTTTGTGTGTGTGTCTGCATATTTATTTATTTGCTTAAAACTCTAATTTCATTCATTAAGGTCATGAAACTCTGCTTTTATTTTAACATGAATTATCCCAGCTCTTGACAGACATCAGATTTCAGTAGTGGTTAGAATCCATGGCATTAACTGAGGGGCACCTCCTGCAAAGTAAACATTATGGATCATTTAATGTTGTGCAAACAGCTAACAATTACATGTCTTTTTAAGACCCGTAATTGGAACATTTTCGGAGATTCATAATTCTAGGGTTAGGCCTACATAATGATCCGACTAAATTGGTGTTGGAAGACCGTCCGTCCTGAATTGTTTATTAAACGCTACAATAATTACCAGCCTTGCTTGCTGAGAAAAAAATGGTCTGGGCTGGCACTTGATGCATTTGCCAAGCTGCCAGGAGATGATATTTGGCCAATAATTTAAAAGACATAATGAATACAATTTAGGATTCTTCTTCTAACGCTAATCTGAGCTGCGTCTATTTGACAATTCCAATGGTTCACAAATACATTTGATCACCTTGTATATTTTTGGTGAATTAGTTCGTGGACCGTGGCTCTATGGGTCCACGATTCCAACAGGGTGGTAAAAGGGTGCAGTTTGCGCAATACGGTCAAGTCGATTCTACGCGGCATCGTCTGTCTGGACAAAATCCCAGTGGCATTTCGCATGGAGCTCCTTGATGCATTTTTCAGTTGTACAGTGTGGCTGGAATTGGAATAATGGATGTGGAATTGAAATAGCGGTGGAATACTGTAGTCGTGTTTTCAGCGGAATTATGTAAGGATGCCTGCGGAGTTTTGGCACCAAAGAACCACATCCTAATCGCTGTAATAAATAAATGACTTGGACTGAAGTTGCAGGGTGGCTTGGGGATGACCATGTCAAAGTACTGAGCCCTCCACTGCCGAGAGCCTGGGTTTGAATCCAGTTGGCCACCCATGATTTAAAGCTAGGTTCTTGGGTATGGCAAACCGATTGTCGATTGTCTCAACGTGGTCACTTTTGACGGCACCAAAAAATATCATAATTTCACCTCCTAACATGATTCCCATAGAATGTGGAATATATTTAAAAGATAACATTGGTAGAAGAAATGGAGATGGAATGAGCCAGAATTACCTTTTTTCTGTAGCTTATTAGCCCCCCACCCCCATGCTGTATTCATAAGGGATCCCCAGAACATTCTTAATGGTGGCTCGTTTTGGTGATAAATGTTCACTGTGCCTCGTGCCACCCTCCAAGTTGGCCGGTGCGAGCCACAGTCCTTATTTGGCTGCTTTGAAAGCCATTGGAATCTTTTTTTTAAGTCAACATATTGGAGGGGATCGGTGTGAGCTTCGTGCACTTGACGTATGTGCACCGACTTGTCCGGTTTTACCTGATATCCTCTCGCGATAACAATTGTTGTATTCGGCATCGATGCTTGTGGAATGCACAGCCATATTTGAAATTACATATTTCATGAGCAGAGTTGGGAGATGCCGTAAAAGCTTTCGGTTTAAATTGAGCTAACTGGTGCATTACAATTTCAATGTTTATTTCACTTCCATTTTACTGATTGCTATACTATTTTTAAATCTACAGAAATGGCCATTAAGTGCTTTTTCAGTAAAATATCGTAATTTGCTCGTGTGTTTGCACTACGCTTTTTTTATATTAAGAAATTCTATTGGAATATATTTATTTCATAAAATATAATTCATAAAAGGTTTCTGTGCCTTTTTACCGAGTCCAATTGTATATTCCAAAGCCAAAAATGAGTAAATGTATAAATAAATATTGCAGTGGTACATGGAAAAAAGAATCTGCAAATTTGTATATATGGATGTTATTTATCTTATGCATCACGTGGTGCAGTGTACACAAGACACCCCTATGAAAGCTTAAGGTCAACAGTGCTTTGCTATAAAGATCCTTGACCCAACAGTAACCGCATTTTTAATGGCTATTTTAAAAACATCTGTCTCTTCAAGGGTACTTTAGTGTGTGATGTTGAGTCATAGAGAAACCTCCATTCTTTAGATTTGTTTTTTAGAATAGGCAGATCCGATGTTGTTTTTTTAACATCTAAGGATCATGCATTTAAAAGCCTCTGACAAAACCACTTGGAATGTGCCCGATCTTGTCAGGTCTCGGACGCTTTTGGCAGCTTTGAGCCTGGATAGTGCTTGGATGTGTGACCACCATGTACATACAGGTGTTTGTGGGGACTTCGAAGATACGCGGTGGGCAGTAGAGGAAAGTTTAACACATTCACTGTTGTAGTGTATTTCTCTACTTCAGTATATACGTGCCCCACCTTCACAACCTGCACTGACCATCATGGTGAGGTATGGTCAATAGCCCTCATAAATTGCACAGGGCATGGGGGTGGCCCTCATTCAGCAGTAGATAAAAGAAGGGTTGTAGACAGTCCAGTTAATTGTTTACATAATGGCATGTGTCCCCTTAATATTTTTTAATATATGCCGCATAAATAAGGGATAAAGTACAGTGTGCCGCTGTTACACTCCCAAGCTAGCTTGTGTTATCCACTGCCATACATCTGGTGTGGCTAATAAATAAATAATGCGTACATTTTCCATGCTCTTTACGCTAAATGCAAAGATCAAAAGACACGGGCATTACAGATAAACTTCCTCGTTTTAAATAAGAAAAGCGCATTTAGATATGCCACGGAAAAATTAACTTAACCTAATATTTACATTCATGCTCGGTTGTATTTTGATGAATGTGTGTAATTGATAAAGGGCTGGTATTTGTTTCTCCTCTTAAGAAGTTGATGTTTGATGAAAAGGGTTAGGGCAACTTGCAGATCAAGTAATTTATCATCATTTGTGTAAAAACATGGAACTGTTTGTAAGTTAACATTTGATGCTCATGCGGTACTTCTCACCAATTTGTATCTGGCTTTGACACACACTCTTTGGGCCATTAAATCGCACAAATAGTAGCAGCTGAATAAATGAATGAGCTGTGCATATGTACCGGTCGCGGTTGCTTTAGATGCAAACTATTAGCAACTGGGACCTCAGCCTCGTGCCAGCTGTGGTTGCCATTTAGGAAGCAAGGCAAATCTCATTAGCTCACTCAACAAAGAGAGTAGAGGTATGCCTGTCATGCCAATTGCAAAGCTCTGTGGATCTTTTTAAGGTTGTCACCGCACAAATGTCCTCTTGCTGTCGCGTGCTTTAACGTGATTAATAGTGAAGATAATTGTGTCGATGCGATTGGTTGCTTGAGCTGGCTATGATTTTTTTGGGTTCTAGGGGTTTTTGACATGAAGTTAAAGTCCAGATACGTCGGCTCTCTGGTAGTGTGTGCTTTAAAAACATTACTTGCGACACACTATGCTGGTGTGATGCTGTATTGAGAACATTGTCGTCATTCCTTTAAGGTTTAGGCTCTTGTGTGAGTTGGTGATCTATCAATTTGACACCCACTATCTCCCAGGTGGTAAGAATTACAAGAGCAAAGGTTGACAGATCAGCACCTGGGGCTCCCTTATATGCACTAGTAACGATTAAGCCACACTCTTTTTAGAAGAATAATGCCCTTTATTTATGTAGGAAAGGCTCACCAAGACTCAAACGCCATTTCAGGAGGCTCCTACGTTGGGATTTTTGACCAATCCAATAATGGTTGATTAACATGTGGGAAGAAACTAGCACACAGAGAAAATCCAACAAACAAGGGGATAACACTCCAAGGCTTCACACTCATTTATTCTTTAACCTTTTGATTTCGTGCCATCTCCTGGCCACATTGCAGCCTAAACCATGGTCAACCCTGTTTAACATCGGAGATTCCACGAGATTGGGTACATTTGTGGTGATTTAACTGTTGTTGTTGCAAAAAGTTGCGTTTGTTTGCAGATCGGTTGCTTAAGCGGCCGTCCTGGGCGTCACCGACTCGCCTGACCCCCCGCACTTGCGTGCTTATTTGAGCAGGAGGTGCGGTGCATGAAGCTGGTGCAGCATCCCAATGTGGTGCGACTCTACGAGGTCATCGACACTCAGACGAAGCTCTACCTCATCCTGGAGCTGGCCGACGGCGGGGACCTCTACGACTACATCATGCGGCACGAAGGCGGCCTGCAGGAAGAGCTTGCCAAGACGTACTTTGCCCAGGTACGCGCCCCGTTTTCAGCGCCCCAATACCCCGTGAACATTTGCCGTCGCTTCACTGACGCTCGCGGCTGGGAATGTGCACGTTGCCGACGGGTCGTGCGACAAGGTGCAAAAAATAATTGAGCACTGACCTACATACACCGCAGAGCTTGTTGTGATACCCCCAGCTGCGCACATTATTTCCCCATCTGGCTAAAAGCTTTGGTCCCTGTTTATGCATTTCCTCCCATATTCTCATTCATTCTCATTCATTTCATGATTTTATTATTTTCACTTTTCATTCATATTTCTCATTCCTATTGCCAAGATTCCGTCGGGGAACTGGAGTCTCTCTGCGTACCTACTTGAAAATGCCTGGCAAATGGATTGAAAGACTTGTGTAGAGTCTTGCTCTGTGTAGCATCGAGGAGCTTACTCAAGGTTCTGCATGACATGTTAAGTTACGTGCTACGGAGTTATCTTGCAAACATTCATTTTATTTGAAGATACAATGAGGCCAGCTCAATAAATAGTGCTCCACAATTGTGTTGCGCACTGCACATGAGTGTATCAAATTTACAATAGATAGGCTTAACACACCTCATTGGAGGAAGAATGTACTTCTGCAGTGAAATCAGCACTTTGTGTAGGATACACTCACTCTTTCACCGCTCTAACAAGTGTGAATGCAACAGATGATCCATTAAAATGTATTGTAATGCTTATGAAGCAAACATCAAAATGTGCATGTAAAATCAATTATTTCCATTTCACATTTTTGTATGTGCTTTGTTCATGGCAACACTGTAGCCATTATGGATTCTACATATACCCCATGGTGAAAAAAAAGATGTATTTGTAAATCTAAGCATGGTGATACAATACGATCTAGATTTTTATAGCATCTATGTATGTTGAACTTCGCACCGTATATAGCCAACCGTGCTAATATAAATACAACCACATCTCAAGACTCCGCAAAAAGAGCGGGCATATATTGATTTCATATAGACAGTCAATCCTATGCAGTGGAAAAAAGGGTAAGGGCCTTGAGCTTGGACTTGAAATGCTGAATAGGATCAGGGAGATGACGGCATGGATAGAATATGGAAGGAAGTTCCAGAGCATGCGGATCAGTAGAAGAGAATGAGTGACCTCAAGGAGTGACTGGGGCTTTGACAGAATGCTTTTGTTGCTGCAGTTAAAGAGAGTGTGGAAGGGAGTAGAGTGAGATGAGCGGGTAGAGGTAACCACAGGTGATTCCATGGAGAACCTTGAATACTGCAAGCACAGTAAAACCTCGTTATTTTGGTATTTGATCATTCGTGATTGGGGATATTCGGCACGGCTGCGCTTTGGGCATGTATATACAGCATTAGTAATTTGCCATGAGCTGAATTGCCGTGCCGAATGGTCCAATTTTTCAGCATGCACGTGGAGCGACGACCAAAACAATGGCTCAGTCTAGAGGCGGCGCGCGTGGTTGGCGTTAGCGCAGACCGGTCGCTTTGGACTTTACCTTGTTTATGCACTATGCAAGCCACCTCTCTCAGAAATGTTGTCTACACCTACATCGAGAAGTAATAGAAAGGGACTGCAGTATAAATCCCTTAGTCTGCGAGACAAATCCAAACTTTCGGATAGAATTGATGCAGGTGTGTCGATGTGTATGGTGTGATGGTGTGTGAAGAGTTTGGAAAACAAATTTTGATATATATTTTTTTATATTGTGGCAGGAAGCACTGGGGGAGTACCATTGTACATAATGCATCTAGGCCAGGGCTCCATATGTATCGATTTAACAAGGGTTTACTGAGATTGGATTGCGACGACGTGGTCTATGGCTTTCTGGTGTGAAACCTGTAAAGCGGCATCTCGACGCTTCACGAACCCACGGAGAGAAAAAAATCGCTAAAACATAATTCCGGCTGTGTACGTGTGTGTGTGTGTTAGGTGGTCCACGCCATTTCGTACTGCCACCGCCTGCACGTGGTGCACCGGGACCTGAAGCCGGAAAACGTGGTGTTCTTCGAGAAGCAGGGCCTCGTCAAGCTCACCGACTTCGGGTTCAGCAACCTCTTCCAGCCAGGCACCAAGCTGGCGACAAGCTGCGGTTCGCTCGCCTACTCGGCACCCGAGATCCTGCTGGGCGACGAGTACGACGCGCCCGCCGTGGGTACGTTCCTCGTTGTACAGCGCGTCGCTTTGTGTTCGGCAGAGGGCTCGTGATCTTTCAGCTTCAGGGTAAAATGAATGGCACTTGCCAGAATAATGTTGCGCATTTTTTTTCTGGAGTGTTTACTTCATGCTTAACATTAACAGTACTGCGTAGTCATTGGCAGTGGCGCTGTATAGCTCTCTGATTTGTACCGTTTGGCATGATGTCTGACGTTTCATTTCACATGCTGGAAGCTTCTTCAAGAACTCAATTGAGAGGCTCTCTTTTTCTTCGTTGATTATTTACTAAACGTTGATGTTGATATCACTGTCATCACCGTCAGCCATGTATGTATTTTGACCTTCTTTCGCACCGTACATAGCCAACCGTGCTGATTGGAGATGTTCTATCTGCTGCTGGATAAGGGCCTCCACATGTTGTTGGCACTCCGAACAGTCTCGGAATGCCACAATCCATGTCACTCCTGCATGTGAGCGAATTGCATCTCCTCGGTGGGATCTGGAGACTCAATGTATCGCTCATTGAACTGTGTTTTTATAGACTGGTATTGATGCTTGCTGAAATGCAGCATTGTAGAGCCTTTTTTCTTTAACAAGTCTGTATTGAAAGTAAACTTAATTGTGTTTTGTGTTAAAAAGGCCGACGCATCCAGTCGGATGAATTAGCTTACCACTGCCAAGATAGGTACCCCATTAATTGCTGGCACAAGCGTTCTTTTTTATAAATCACAATTTGTGAAATATTTAGTAATGTCATTGAATCTGTTTATCGATGACAACTAAGAATCATCACTGTCTGCGGCGGGGGGGGGGGGGGAAGTATCGGTCTCGTTGTCGTGTGTGTACATTTTGGCCAAATAGGACTGCAGAGACGAACACTTAGGACTATAAGAATGAACTGTTGATGTGGATGTTGGGTGTTTTGAATCAACCGTAAATGTTTGTTTACTAGACGAATCCTTGTGGAAAGTACTAGAGCTGTCCACTTAGTCTTGTTATGGACGCGTGGTACCTAAAATGCTCGGCAGCTGTGGGGTTTTTTTTCACGAAATGCATGATTAAATGTCGTGTCTGTTTACCATACACAATTACGCACGCAAGCGCATTCCCATGGACCTGCATAATTGCGTACGCACACGTAAGCAGGCAATTGCGACCGCCCTGGGGTGGTGTGCGTGCACGCGCGCGTGCGTGTATGTTGTGGGGAGCGGTAGTGTAGCGGTTAGCGCGCTGCACTCCAAACCCGGCAACCCGAGTTTGATTCCCGCTCACAGCCGACACCAGGTGACGATTATCTGAACCGGCCTCAAATGAGTACCTGGTGCGATTTATATAAACATCGCTGCTGGGGAGACAAAGGGGGTCGTGCGTGGTGCTGGCCACCCACCCCCTCGGGTGCCGGCCTTCGTAGGTGCTCGTTAACAGCACTTCCCCCCCCCAACAGTCTGTTAAGGCTAGATGGGAGAGCTTTGTCTTTGTGTGTTGGAGCAAGCACATGCATGCAACAGGAGACATGGTGGCATGCACGTTCGCACGGCTTGGTGCTCATCCCCGCAGGGGCACGTCTCGACACGCTGTGGGGCCCTGCGTGCGTGTTTCTGCCCCGGCTGTTTACACCACTTTTTCCCGCAGGGTGGAAAACATAAAAAAAGAGAACGAATTATTATTGCATGCTTGGAGATAATTTTCTACGTAACTAAGCCACTTGTTAAGTAACAGCTCAATGGAGCTGTTACTTAAATAGTCCAGCTCTTACTCTAGGAGAATTGCAATATCTGTAGGTGTGATCCGTTGTTTCCTGTATTGCCTTGTAAATGGAACAACGAAACGGTCATACGCGTGGAGTCTGTGATGCTTTCCCAACATGTGTTTGTCCTCGGTATAATTTATTGTGTAAAAAAGAAAATAGTTGAATGCATCGTGTTGACTTGAGAAAATGAAGTGGGCTTGGGAAGAACACGTCGCTTGTGATGATGGCCAATGGTCAATAGTAATGACAGTGGCAGCTGACACAAGGAACTCATCCAAGAGGGTGTCAACCAAGGACATGGAGCGATGACATTAACACAGGTCCTCGGTGGATTGCACGGTTGGCTACGTACAATGCGAAATAAATTTAACAAACATACATGAGACATGGTGGTGGCTTGGGGAGCCCTTTGTCCAGCAGTGAATTCACCATGACTCACGATGATGTACATTTAATGTTTTGTAAATGTGATTAAAACCCAGCAAACGGTGAGCTACCGTTGAAAATGAAATGGCATGGTCCTCCAAAATCCTTCCAAGTCTACTTTACAACAATCTGTCTCAAATGGTCGAATGTGTTCACACTGGTCAATTCGTCTTCACACTGACCACTGCTGTCTGAATTTTGCATGTCCAGTCGTGGCTTATTGGATTCGGTGCAAGTTGTGAAACTCAAGTAGCCGTTAAATGGCATATCGTAATTATTCCGTTGGGCATACAGAAACATACCCGCAGTCATTGATTGATGATGATCAGTCAGGCATCAGGAATGTTGGGAGGGTGCGTCTTGGTGGCCCAAGCAAGTTTGTGCGCGTGCCGCGTCCGTCTGCCCGTCCCTTCCTTCCGCACATCTGTGACACAGCCACTTCCAAGCCGGCAAGGCCCAGCTGATGTAGACCACCTTCATGGCCCTTTTGTCAATTGACTACTTGTTAAGGGCTTCACCACACTGTTGTGCAGGTCCTTTGGGGTTATTTGAGTAGACTTCACGACGTTGGTCAGGTTGGTAAAGTCTGGGAGCCGTAGAAGTTTCGTATGACATACTCTTTTGTTCTTTCCGGTAAAGTCACGTAGATAGAAAATGAATAGATCGCGACGTTTCGACCGCAACACAAGCGACCGTCTTCAGGTGATAGAGAGAGAGAGAAAGCTACTGAAACAAGGTCTTATGTAGGCCTGAGATAGGTGCAGCCTCGGGGTAAGAGGGCGGGGCTAGAGATGGTCTCCTGGAGGCTGTGGAAGTGGCTATTGTATTGTGAGAGATTAGCATGTCAATGTACGGGCATAGTCTGCCGCAGCATCAGTGACTTGCCTAGTATGTCGCAGCATCGGTGACTGGTATGATGACTATAGTATGACAATTGATTTTGCTGCACTGTGCTTAGCTGCCCACAGTGTAGTCCTGCAGCACTGTTTGTGCATGGTGGTCACCCATTCAAACACAATCCAATCCTATTCGTTTTTGAGATCTGATGGGATTGGATGTAGAATTTGGTCATTAGCCAAAAAAAAGAAAGGAAAGGACAGTTGCTTACCTTGTTTTGTGAACTTATTTCATATCCATAGTTTTGTTTGCAAATTGTGTCGAATAACAAAACTACAGCAGTCATTGTTTTTTAAAAGAGTGTTATCTAAGATCTCTCATACCAAGACTGATGCTGATAACCCAGCCAGTTTAAAACAATGACTCGTGATAATGATACAAAACAAAAACAACAGACAATACAGTGCGAATATCACTCGGAGAAAAAAGAAAAACACGATCTATAAATTTAAATTGGGCCTAATGATCAAGTATTTTAGTGTTATCGTTGATATTGTCTGACTAAGCAAGTGGGATACTGAACAATAACTCAATGTGGGGGAGAATGTTATGTAAATGTACGGTGTGCTTTAGTACATCCCCACAGCCAGTGTCCCCATTCTTCTTTGGCCCCTTTACCGGCTCGGACGTTAATTTTCTTATCGTTGTGTTGCAGAAAAGATGAATGATGGAGGCCAGTTAATCGGCCTGCATATGAGTATAGTGCATAATTTCTCACGAGGAAAATATTTGAAGCACACCCCCCCCCACTGATAAGGCCTTGAGGTATTCCATTGGGTTTTCTTGTCAGAGCGCTAAGAGTGGGCCCCACTAATTTTATCCCCCAGCGTTTGTGCCTAATGGAGTGCTTTTACATAGTTTTTTTTCCAAAGATGTTTACGGCTGTCGTAGAGTGCATGGCTCCCAGCCAGATTTTGAATTCGCGGTTCATCAGTGGACTCTTTCTGGAGTGCGAAAATATGGCGCCACCTCACAACGAGCAGCTGAGAAGAAGTTGTCATACAACAAGTTCCACAAAGCGTTTTTAATCATCAGCTTTCCGCCAACGCTTCGGTACGTCTACCCAGCAATTCACAGCGGCAGGCGTCGAACCATCAACTTGGTGCGAATGTGCTCGGCCGCGTTCGCAATCAAACGCGACGCTGGATGCCGGCGTAAAGTGTAATTTTGTTGCTGTGTTTGTGTGCGGTGTAGACATTTGGAGCCTCGGCGTGATCCTGTACATGCTGGTGTGTGGACACCCGCCATTCCAGGAAGCTAACGACAGCGAGACGCTCACCATGATCATGGACTGCAAGTACACGGTCCCCGCGCACATCTCCCGCGAGTGCAAGGAGTGAGTAGTGATCGGTGCTTGTTTATTTTTACCTTGTGCCTTCACACCCGTGGCACACAATTGGGCTGTGATTGGCAATGATGAAATAAATAAAAAAGTGTTAACACACACCCAATCGCACAAATTTCAGCGTGCACAACTCCGTCTCGACCAAACACAGGTGCACACAATTGCACAATGGGCCACATCCACACACGCGCTGCCCTGGAATGTACACATTGGACCCAGCTATGTGGATGCAGCAATGGGTACAGTGTGTTTGTCTCGGCGTAGTGCCTTGAGAACTCAACCCTTTTTAATGCATAGAGAGAGGTTTTGCCGAACGTATATTGCCATGTAGTTGCTGTGTAATGTAATTTTTATGTAACTGTCGTATCCCGTATAAAATATGCATCAAGCTGTGCTGTCCTAATGGCTCTGGGTCGTCACATGAGCCCGGCTGTAATGCAGTTTTTGCTTCTGAGCAATGAAAGCTGTCAAAGTATTTTTGAAGGACAGGTGAATCGGTTATCAAAGCAGCCAGCCAGACCAGTATATCAATAAGCAAACTCGCAGGCAGGAATGATTATTACATTCGGGATGACGGTGTGCGATTGATAGAAATGGGTGAGAAGGGATGTATCAATACTTGAAGACATTTACATAAATGCATGAACCTAATATAACTTGGTGAGAACCCATTTAGGTAGAGTATTTCTCGTAGGGCTCGTGAGTGCTGGTAGTTTTAGAGATATTTATATTTAAAACCTTTACAGAAATATATAATCTGACATCAATCTAACAAACTAAAAATTGGTCAACACCTCTTGTCTGGCAAATAATTCCGATATACGAGGTACACAGTTGAATTCCCATCACGTGTATCATGCACAGCTATACTGGTGCCACATACAGATGGAGCGTCGCCTAACTCGTGGCACAAACTGCCCCTTTGTGGTTCAGTGATTCATCATGGTTTGGTGGTCATAATTCTATTTAAAACTTATAATAATGTATTCCTTTGTCTTCTCTTTACTGTCTCGATCGCCTAATTTTTCCATTTACTCTGCCTCATTTGCCCCATTATCCTAAATATAACGTTCATAAACCATTGGCATAATATCTAAATAATGGTTTCTTCACAGACACAATTTGATGCGTGTATCGTCAGAGTAATCTCCAAGTCTTCACACGCCTACTACACACTCTGGTTTTGATCATTTAACTCGGTGCATTTGACCACGTGCCTACACATATAAGGTGCGCGCTGCCGTACTGAGACTGCGTGCCGTCGTTGTCGTGTTTTCCCTCTGTGATGCACGCGTCTCGGTCAGCCTGATCGCTCGCATGCTGCAGCGCGACCCACGCCGCCGCGCCTCGCTGCAGGAGATGGAAGGCCACCCATGGCTGTGCGGCGTGGACCCCTCCCCCGCCGCCAAGTGCAGCACCCCGCTCATTTCCTACAAGAGCCTGTCGGAGGACGAACACAACGGCATCGTGCAGCGCATGGTGCTGGGCAGCATCGCCGAACGTGACGCCATCGTAGAGTACGTGGCCTCAGCACTGCGAGTGACGAGCGGATGAAGCTCTCCGCTTGACGTATCTTCGGGGGTTGTACTGCGTGCTGTTCGGCACAATGTCCGGCATTTCGCTCCACGTGCCAGGAGCTTCGCCGTGGATAAAAAAACGCCAGACGTCATGCCAATACGCCCCGTGGTACAACCAGGAAACACGTGATCAGAGAACTAGGCAGCAGAAATGTAAACTTTCATTCGTAGTACAATGCGTGCAAATGCATTGACTCTCGTTTTCTGCCTTCCTCGCTTCCCCAACTGCTTGGGGGTGGAGTAATGTGTGAAGCCCTTCATCCAACAGCGGATTGACGAAAGGCCCTGAAAAGTATTATCCTCATCACCAATGCATAGGCTTTCACAGTTGTGCAGTGTGGCTCTCTGAGGTGTTTTGCACCATGTGCTGGGAGTTTCTGCAGTTCCTGAAGTAGCTGCAAGCACGTGGAACAAAACGTCGGACATAATGCTGAACAACACGCAGTGCAGTGCGAAAATGCATCGGGGCAATGTTATGATTGCAACCCATAATTTGTGCTCTTTTTGTCCGGAGATTCAAATGTTTATGGTTTTATCGAGTAAAATGGACTTCCTGAAACTCGGCATCAATTTTGGCCAAGCATTTTTTTGCTTTGCTTGCAAATTCTGCATCAGTTTTTCCGTGTTATGACCACAGCATTTTCAGTTATGGAAAGCGTGGGCAGGTTTCTTTCACACCGCAGTTTGTAATCACAAAAATAACTCGTGCTATATTAAGTACCACAGTTTGTGCCTCGGACCAATTCGCCCAGAATACTCCTGATCTCATCAGATCTCAGAAACTATGCAGGATTGAGCCTGGATAGTGCTTAGATGAATGACCACAATGCACGCCTAGTTGTCATAGGCGACCGGTAGGGTGTGCTGTGTTCAGAGTAGCAAAAACAGCGCGGCTAAATTATTTGTTGTATTGTGCTTCCATGCTATGCCCACCACTTTCATAAATCTGTACTGGTCAGCATGGTGAAGTCTAGTCAACTATCCTCCACGATCTCCACAGTGTGGGGAGGGCCCACACTCAAGGGGGGGGGGGGGCTGTTCATGTGTACGTGTGTGTGTGTACGCCTGCAGTGTATGTTCATGTTTTGTTCTCATATTCTCGTTCATTATTGCACATCGTCATTTTGCAGGGCACTGGAGGCAGACCGATACAATCACATAACGGCCACGTATTTCCTGCTCGCTGAACGCATCCTCAAAGACAAGCTGGACAAGCAGATGCAGAGCCCTCGCTCAGGAAGCCCTAGCGCTGCCACCAAAGCGCACTTCAGGTATGTAGTACTCTTTCTCTTCCTGTCCATGGCAACACGAGTGGTATTTACTGCGAATATTTGTCGATAATGTGGGTTAGGACAAAAGTCGTTCGCAACTGGTGACTTGTTGCGTCTCCTTTCGCAAACATTCTTAAAATTGCTCGGGCCAATTTGGGGTCCGGCATGTCAACCAGCAGCAAACGACCGCACCTGAGAAGCACAATTTTATTTGTGGGTAATTTGGAATTTGGACTTTGCCCAGACATGGCCAAATATGTACATGCTGTGCAAACCAGCACACCCTTAGTTTAGCACATCATGAAAGCTTTCAGGCTTTGAGCAAATCTCGTTTTATGCTAAAACGAGCCACCATATGTTGAAGCAAGGGAATAAATATTTTAAAAGCATTGGGTGGATTAGTTGGATTTAAAATTCCCATGTGAGTGAGAATCCAGTGCTGATATCTCTGCATTCCTTTGTTCGTTTTCAGCGCCAGCAAGAAAAAAATATAATTTTCTCATCCACTACTGTTTGGCTCGTAAATAGTTTTGGGTAGTAACTGCAGTATCATTTGTCTTAATGGCAATGCTTTGCTGATATTCATTTTTCAATCGCAACGTGCGAACATCACGACTGAAAATAAATGCTTCTGCTCATCATCATCGTCAGCCATGGTCAGTCCACTGCTGGATGAAGGCCTCCCCAAGCCCGCCACCTCTCACGATCCTGCAATGTAATAATATACCTAGCACCTGCACACAAACTGATTTCATCACTCCATCTCCCCGGTGGACGTGCCTCTGCAACGCGTTTCATACCTTCGCTGCCGCTCCAATATTCTTCTTGACTTTCGTCCATCATCCCGTCCAGCAATGTGTCCTGCCCAGTCTCAGTTTTCTTAATCGTGGGAATGATGTCATGAACCCGCCCATGTTCTCTCATCCACGTGTTCCTCCGTCTGTCTCTCGGTGTGAAATTCCAAGCATCTGTCCGCGCTTCTTGGGCACTTTTCAGTTTTTTTTGTTCCGTTTTTCTTGTTGCCAATGACCATATGTCAGAGCAGGTTCTGCTCGTCCCATGTAAAAGTTCTGCCTAAATCGATCATTGTTTTATCCCCCGGTTGCTCAGACAATCGTGGCCGGCGCGGATCAACATCTCCCAGGAGATCACCGACCTGTCTGGGCCCGGGACATCGGCCGGCTCCCAGGGCTCTCCCGCCGATGGGTCGTCCCAGCCATCCATGGGAACCTTGACGCCGGCACGGGCGGCCCCATCTCCTGGTGGCACCGGCGGGGGGGGGCGCAAGTCCGTGGTGTTCACCGTCGGAGAGGGCGAAGAGGAGGACGAGGAGGAGGAGAAGATGGAGGCGAAGAGGAAACAGCAGCAGGCCGTGCAGGTGGGTGTTTTATCGGAGGAAGGGATTTTTGCGGTGACCTCCGAGCAAGTGAGCCCGCACGGTCGCTGCGCAGGTATCACAGCGATACACTCTGCTGCTCCTGATATGGTCCTCTGGCTTGACTACCTGAATGTGACACCATTGGAACCTCCTTTGCCAGTAAAAAAACATGATAATTGGTACCAATGGTGTAAATGCTTACCCCGAGCTCTCATACTCTGATGGTGCATTGTCTTTGAGTTGTGCGCCTTTTGGCTTCATCTGGTCAAACACCATGTGAGATTATGCTCTAAGGAAAGCTGTCTCGGGTGTGGACCAATCAATTTCAAGGACAGTGCATACATTATCAGAGTTATGTTTTTTGTTTGCATTATGACTGCAGGAATTGTGGTCTATGCAAACATGACTCCTTGTAAAAAAGGTGTCTGTTTGTTGCCAGATAAAAGGGTAAAAAACCAATTACCTGAATGTGAATTATTGTTGTTGCTCTGCGTCTACATCGGCAGCCATACAAAAGAAAAAGCTGCTGCACATGTTGTTTGCAGCTGTTGGGTCGTATACGTGAAGCGTTGCGAAAGCGTGTACCGCTTGATGTACGGGTGGACATTGCAGATCCTGTATCATTGGCTATAAGAGTGAGTTTCTTTGTGCTGGTGACAGTTTGCATCCCCAAATTGAAGTTTACCGATTTGCTAATTCATTTTCACGAGTTTTTTTTTTCTTTCAGTAAATTGGTATACCGAGTGTGTTGAATTTGCCCAAAGTGAAACTCGTGTTATCAACTCCAGAGTCAATGACTGATAGGAATTTGAACTTGCATCCTTCTGGTGGCAAGCCATCCACTGGTATGACCTCACCAGATATTATACATTTAATTAATTTCTGATTATTAACAGCCCTTTGTCAATCCCCTGCGAGGTGTAGGTATCCTCCCCATGTCTTATTGGTCACGCGTCACCACGCTGGTCAATGTAGGATGGTTGAAGTGGAGCAGTTTGAGCAGTTCAGATATCACTGGCAAACTGATGTTCGTCAAAGCCTGAAAACAAATTTTCATTGCCGGGATCATCGCGCAGTGCACTCACCACTGCGCCACGATTACCGTGTAAATTTTATCAACGACACTGAATGGTTTTTTTCCTGTCTAGATTCTCCTTTGCTTATCACAACTCGGTGGAACAACTTCTTGGTTCTTTCAGTAAAGTCACGTAGAAGGGAAATAATAGAATAATAAAATTAAAACATAATAAAATACAATTTTCACGACGTTTCGGCCACAACGCAAGCAGCCGTCCTCAGGTGAAGAGCATGCCTGTCGGAAAGACAGCTTCTGAATGATTAATTTTCAACCTTAAGAGATTGCCATCACAGCGCACTGCAAACAAGTTAGCCATTTCGTTAAGACCACTGCTCCGTTGTGCACCAGTGTAAGCAGTGCATTTTCATTCAGCCTCGTGGCTTTTTTGTGAAGTGTTTTGCGAGATGGTCTTGTACACCGACCCTTTAATTGTACTCTCGCTCATTCTGTAAAGAAAATGCAGTGTTTTTAATTAAATAGGACGCACCGTACCGACCTGCGTGACAGGTGTAGGGTGATTGATTTGGAGTGGCATGTTCAGTACAAGAGTCGTACGGAGGTCAACTAACCTAAGCACAGTGGAGTGAGTGGGAAAGGACCATTGATTTTTTTCTGAACACAATGATTGGCAATTCCAAAGCATTTATGCTCTAATGATATATATGTAACCTTGTAATGACAATATTGAAGTGAGCGGAGCTTCTAATGTATTATGAACCACTTTCTCTTATAATTAAGTGGGTCTAAATTATGTAATTGAAACAATTCCTCCAGCTTACACATGAAAGGCTATGTAATTAAAACAAACACCTTGTTTTTTTCAACATCTCGCAACAGCATTGATAAATACCATGTTTGTTTCTCTAATAACAGACGAAATCAAAATGATGGCAAATTCTGGAGGAGAATCAAATAAGATCAACGTATTAAATAGAGAAATGGAACCCTCGATGCAATATGAATACAAGTGCAAAGTGAAACGCAACGCAATACTGTTTTGCCCTAAAACCTATTAACTCTCCATCCAAAACATGTGAGTAATGACCAGGCGTTTAACGGGATTACTCCGTGAACCCATGTAACAAAGTTATCAAAACGCCTACATCATTAGACCACCTTTGCCAGTACCAAAATATAATAATAGGGTTTTTCCCCTTTTTTCAAAGAAAGCCGTCTCTGGTGTGGAGCAATCAGTTTCAAGGACAATGCATATATTATCAGAGTGTGTTTTTTGTTTGCATTTTGACCGTATTGTGGTTAATGCACACATGATTCCTTGTAAAAAGGTTTCAGTTTTGTTGCCAGAAAAAAGGGGAAAACCCCTATTGTCAAAACGCTTGAAGAAAAATGGGTCCTGACCCCATGTGACCGTTTTAATCTCCTCTCACATTATAGAGCCCAAGTGCTCCCAAACACCACGGTGGCGAGATGTTAAATACCTCGCCTGGTATACAGGAGGTCGTGGGTTCAATCCCGATTGATGCTTCTACATATGGAGTTTGCCTTTTCTCCCTGAGGTCGTGTGGATTTTTCTCTGGGCCCTACAGTTTTTCCCCTCTACATTAAGAAACATGCATTTAGAGTGTGTTTGGCTGCAGTACATTTCCCTGCGATAAGCCACTTCATTCATCTATAATTTGTAGCCAGTTCGCTTCTGAAAAAGAGCTGTATAGCTCAGTGGGACATACCTGGTAAAATAAAAAGTTTAGTTAGATGTGCTGCGTCTTTTGCCAAGCCACATGTCCTGTGATCTTTCCAGTGGCATACTAAATTGTAATAACATTTTCCCGTAATTGGAGAGGTTCTCATCTTGATTTTAATAAGAGTCCAATTGATTCAAGGCATTTCTTGTTTCTTGGAGGGCCTTAATAAAGTTTATTATCGTAGACCAGGAATGCAAAGCTTGCATAGTGGGCAAGAGTGGCTTTGATGGCTTCTGAATGGTCTTTTTTAATTGAGAGCCTGGCATCAGTTCACTCCCACGTCCTGGGGGCACATTAGACAGATTGTGTACATTAATACCTGTTTTGATATACACTGAGGTGCATATTTGCTCGTGACTGCGTAATCCTCTGAAACATAACTCTCAATTATGTTCTTGCTTCAATGAATGGACTTAACGTCATATTTTAAGTCCCATTTTTGTTTAGCATTCCGCAAAGGATATCGCACAAATGTTGAGTAAGCCTATTTGGCGAGGATAAACCATTTGGTTAATTCATGTTCCCAGTATTTTTTTATTTTTTTTTAAATTGGACACCTGGAAGTTTGTTTGACCTCTCAGATGCCTCTTCTTGGTTCTTTCGGTAAAGTCACGTAGAAGGGAAGTAATAAAATAATACAAATAAAACATAATACGTTATTTTACCGAAAGAACCAAGAAGATGAATCCCTGCAGTCACGAAAGCTTTAAATCGAAATCTCTCAGATGTCGTTTTCCTCACGTATGTATGTACGTTGAACTTCTTTCGCACTGCACATAGCCAACTGTGCTCATCGTTTGTGTTCCCTTCGATGATTGTGCATGCCCAGGTGGTGCTGCGTCGGCGCCCGTCGCTCATGTCCCGCATCACGTCACGCAAGAGCGCCCCGCTCCTCAACCAGATCTGCGAGGAGGCGGAGGGGGGCGAGGGCTGCGAGTCCGAGGATGAGCTCAGCGTCGGCGCAGCGCTCGCTCCGCAGCTCAACCGCCTGCGCATGAGCCTCGCCTCGCCGGGCACTGCGCACAAGCGCTACCCGCGTGGCCGGCGCACGGCCGGAACCGGCCGGCCCTCACCGCCCCACAGCCAGTCGCCCGACAGCCACGCCGCCCGGCCTCAGCCCGTGCACCAGCAGGGCTGCAGCAGCTCCGAGACGAGCGACGACGACAACAACAACGGCGGCGGCAGCGGCCTGACGGGGCAGGGCCAGCACGAAGACGGGCCGCCGGGCGGGAGCGGCGGCGGCGGCGGAGGAGGAGGAGGCGACAGGGGCGGCGGAGGCGCCGGAGAGAGGCCGAGTCACGGGGGAGGCGGGGGCGGAAGCAATCAAGGCGGCGAGGGTGGCGGCGCTCAGCCGGGGGGCGGCGGCGCCAAAGGCGGACAAAGCGGTAGCGGGGCCGGCGGCGGCGGTGGCTCCGCCCCCCGGGTGGCATCCTGCACGGGCGTACAGGAGGTGTGCGTGTCGGACAGGAGCGGCTGGCGTTGGCGGCGAGGCCTCAGACTGCGCTCGACCCGCTCGCAGCAGTAAGCAGAAAAGGGGCAGCCACGGCACGGGAGGAGTGTCCCTGCCCCCGGGTGCGCTGTGCAGCCGCTCCGTGTCGCGGACCTCCCTGGAGACCGTGCACGAGGGTGGGGAGGTGACGGAGGCTCTAGCGCAAGATAATTGGCCGACGCTATATGACCACGTACAGGAACAGGCCGAGCGCTCTGGAATTACGGACATCAATATGAATCCAACTGCTGCCATTTTCGAAAGGGCTGACCCGTCTTCAATGGACTGTGACAAATCGGGACCGGTAATCGATGCTGCTTCGCACGATGACATTTCATATGGAAACCTCGGCATTGCCAACAGCAGCCCTTCCAATCGCATCAAATTACAAACTTCTCTCACAGACATCATGGAAACGGAGTCTTGTGGGCGTCCAGCTGGCGATGATATTTCTGTCTGCAGTGCTTCGGACACCGCACCAAGCAAGGAGGCGCAGTCTAGCACCATCGTTACCGACATGTCAGCGCCGTCTAGGCAAGAACCTAGCTGCCCTACTGAAAATTCCGGCGGTAAAGGCGGCGTCCCATCGGGCGGTAGTAGAACATCCACAAAAGCAAAGGAATCGTTGGGTTCCCCCAACATTGGCAAACGAAGGGAGAGGTCGTCCAGCGTCACGGTGTGCGTCACCGAGGACGGTTACAGAGAAGATGCCGAGGGCGCGGTCGCCACGGACGCCAACGCGAACCGGAAGTTGGGCTCGGACGCTGGGCAGGACAGGAGGCGCCAGCTCCTGGTGCGGAACGGGGCGCTGTCGTCGTCGTGCGCCGGATGGCGGGCCGTGGCGCCCTTGCCGGCGAGCCACTTGAGACGCTGCAGCAGCGAGAGCTCGCTGCTGTCCGGAGACTGCTGCCTGCTGCTGCGCGGCGGGGGGCTCACGGGTGCCGGGATGACGACGTCGTCGGTGGCGACCGGAGCCAGGTTGAGCCTGGCGGCCGAGCTCCGAGAGAGCCTCAAGAGAGGCCTCGCGCTTGGCGGGCGCTCCGCCGTCGGGGGGTCCGCCGGCCGGTCCGGGGAGGGCGTCTTTCTCGCCGCGCTCAGCCACGTCACCTGCTGTCAGGTCGTTTGACGCGGCCCCGCCGACCATACGCTCGCGGCCCTCGCTTGTTCGGACCGAGTGACCGGGAGAGCGTGGGTTGAACCACAGCGGGCTCTGTGGAGACCGTGGGCTTAGAGGGAAGGGCACTCGATTTATATAAACGCCGAGTTACGGAGAGGAAGCCTTGAACGCACAGAGTTTTAGAGTTGACCTGGTTTGATACAAAGTCGCTTGTCGTGTGCAGGAGATGTTTTCCCCTCGCTTCGGCTGCATGTGGATGAACACTGGAAGATTCCTTCAGGAAAGGTCAAAGGATGCAGTTTCTGGCCAATAGTGAGCAGGAGGAAACCCACAACTGTAAAACTTTGAAACTACCATCATACATTTTCAGCACTACAGGTGTCGTAAGTCACAGTGAAAAATGGATACAAATAAGTTATATTTTAGGAAAAAAATATTTATAGTTGAGAACCCGACTGACCATTTCCACTGTTTCCTGTACCAGTGTTAAACACAAAAATCATTTCTGCTTACAGCCACAATGTATTTATGACTGTCACTTTGCGACTGCAACAGTTACTATATACCTGTAAACTTCTCGCAAATGGGTTCAAATGCCTTTTAAGCAGACTACGTATAAGCATTGTGCTTTGACGCTAGCTATTTACTCGCACATTTAAAGTGAATATTCGAGGACCTCGTATCTACGGATGCTCAAGTTAAATAGCAGCGTCAGAATTTCCTGCATGATGTGAGCTCGAGGAGACTGATTATGCGTTGAAAGTATTTACACATTTATTTGTTTGGAAAAGACTGGTATCTAAAGGCATTAGGTCAGAATGTTAGGTGCGCACCTGATAAATTGACAGTGCTTAAATATGCAATGTTTATTTTTATTTTACACGTAGCCAGCTCTTTTTTTTGGGGGGTAATTTTTGTTACTTTAGGGTGATTTTTTTTCTCCCAAGCATACATTTAAGGAATTTCATTTGTATTAAAGCATTATGTTTGCACAAAGCATGCTAAAATTAATGTACGTTTTCGCAAGCTTCTTTGGTTTTGTATTAAGTTGTAAACTTTTATTATTCCCATGTTTTAAAGCACACCGATGTTAAAACGGCTCGTACACACACACATGTCCTGTAATTGAGTTTTTGTCACCATTGGACTGGGAAATTCTCCTGTCGTACATCACAGCCGTCCTCAAACCTTGACAAGCGTCATGATCCAAACATAGAATAAAAAATAAAGCTTCTTATAGCATTATCTCGATAGTGCCCAAGCCTAGCCTGCCAGGGTTTTTTCTCTTTTTAGAGCAGTTGGCCAATTTTCCGACAGTCGGTAAATCAGTGCACAGGGGAGGGGTTATGTTGGTGGCAGCGCTGCCGGTTGATGGATGGCAGAGCGTAGAGATTTAAAACACGGCTCTGCCAAGCCGGGGCCACTCGCTTACCTCATCAGGGGGATCGTTGTCGGCACTTATTAATAATAACAACACGATAAGCGTTTTTACTTTCTCAGAAACGGCTACGCTGCCATCTATCGACAGTGTCATTTTTCCTGTGTGTGCTTCTGTCGGTCCGCCGTTGTAGAGCTTATGTATTTAATCGTCTATAATATATATGTAGACCGCATATAATCTCTTTTGTGGGAGAAAGGACATTGACATGAAACTCGGCCAAAAGGTTGACTTGTGTGTTGTTATTTTTTTGGGGGGTTCTCACGTTTGTAAACTCACGTTGACATATAGGGGTGAGTATTTTGTTATTATTGTTTTAACTTTTTAGATAGCTTCAACTTTGCGAAAATTCTCTTCACAAGAGGGACATGTTCCTCGTTTCCCAGCATTGCAGCCATTGCGTACCTGCACAGGTCGGCGAGAGAGCAAACTCTGCCCGATGGATTGCATCGTCGTATTTTACTCGACGACATAGTTCCAGAGAATGCCATCGTTTTCACGACCTACGCGGCAAAAGTATGCCGCCACTGGTGCACGCACGCAATGTGCACGCGTTCTCGCTGGCCAACCACGCGCCGTCATGAAAAATCCTTCCTTGGCATTGGTTCTGCTGCTAGAATTTGGCACTGGACGATGACTTAGATAATGATAATGCTAAAAATTACCTCCGACCAAATCGCCCCGGCATGCACCCGATCTCTTCAGGTTAACGGAAACTTAACGGGACCGAGTGCTCGAATGGGCCGACGCTCATGAATGACGGGCGTTCAGGGGGGGTGGCTGTGTGCTTGACAGCAGAGGGCAATGCAGCAAAGTTCATTGTGCGTTATGCTCCCATGTCTCTGTGCTCCCAGCTTCCACCGGGCCAGATTGACCACCTGGCGTGGTGGGGAGGCCATCATCCAGCAGTGGATTGCTAAAGGGCTGTACATTGACAAATACAAACCCAACAATGACCCCCGATTCCTCGATTGTAACTCAAACTCTCGGCTCAACCTTGGCCCAAATCATGCAGTCGGTCATAATTCCTAATCTCGATCATACTTGCTGTACAAAATGTTACAGAACGTGAATTGCACCAGCCGATGCCTCGGGCGGTGAGTTTTTGGTACATGGCCTCCAAAAGTTATTCCTGTTTTGTGGGCTCTTGCACTGAGGGTCGTCCCGTTCGCCAAAGTACAAGCGACGCAGCTGCAGTGGCTGCTCTTTTCGACACGTGTGATTGTAGTGCCATTGCGCTGTTAGGAGATCTCCATTGCAGCCTCTGCACCAACACATCTCGCCAATTGCTGGATTTTTCATTCTGAAGCTTTGCATTTTGCAGTGCAGTGTTCTTGCCAGATAAGTGGTCGCATCAAAGCCATAACTCAGCGATGTACATATAATTAACAAAGCATGCTGGTAAACAGTCTGCATTATTCATAAAATAAGACTTTTTTATTTTTAATAATGCGCCTGGTGCAGCTGTGACATGCGAGAGCGATCGTACCTCCTGTTTGTTTGTTGAGTATTATTTGTAGTCTGATGATATGAATTCAAGTTGATGATAGTGTACATATTTTAGGGCTTCTCAGGGATTGAGGGCCATGTTGTCAGATACGAAATTCAGGACGGTGGTTTTAAAGAATATTGTTTTTTTGTGGGTTTTTTGTTGTTGCTGTGCATGGTAAAGATGAGAAAAGTTGCTCTTTAGATTTCTGTTCACCATTTTTAATGTTTGCTCTGAACACGATGTTCATTAGACTCAGCCCTTTGACCACAAACAGGGTTTTGTAATTCAAATTTTTACCTCACTTTAACTCTGTAAGGTCACCCCATATGAAAACGTGTATTATCAAAAGCGCTGCCTATTTTCGAGAAACATTTTTTGTTGTTTTTTTAAGTCCCGATCCCGTTTTATCTTGAAGACAATGTGGAAATGCCCTTATATCTGGGAGTTGCCATTGAAAGCGTATAAGCTCCAGACTAATGAGCGCAGACCTCATTCCAAACGCTAAAAAGTGGCCTGTGACATCCCTCGGTAGGGCCATGCAGCAGTGAGTGAGGGGCTGCGGGGCAGTGCCACTTGTTTTAGAATCTTGCTTAGCATACAAAATCGAACTGCATGCGATTGGACAACGGATACAGGCTTGATACACAATGCACGGCTCTCCAACTGCATGTTGCTGCTGTATAGGCGACGCGTGTTAAAAACGTGGAATTCATTTTGCATACAACTGCGTGTTTGTTAAGGTTATCTATCTAGGATCACTTTATTGCAAGGTGTTTGTTTGTTTCGTGTTTCCCGATATTCTATATCTATCGTATGCACAACCCACGATAATTTAACCCAACGTTATTGTTGTAAGTACTGAATAATAATAATGAATTGATCATCGTGAGCCCCCGCGTTTTAAATAAAAGCACATCTCAACGGAGTCTGGTTTTCTACATCGGTGGGACATTATACCATTGTCGACTGACATCAGTTTTAAATTCATT